GTTTCAATTCGTTTGCTAACTTGAGCATATTGAGAAGACATTTAGCCTCCTTTTGGAACAACTGCTTTCGTGCTTTCGATTCTCACAGTTCTCAGATCACCACCCACTTGAATATTTTTTTTCTTTTTTTTTTTCTCTTTTATTGCTCTTTCTTATTTTTCGACATAGCTTGCATCATATAATAATATGCAAGAAATACGTGTTTCGACTTAAAAAAAAAGAGGAAGAATCAATTCTATTTGGATTCCCTTTCTTCAATACTTTTCAAGTCAAGGGTGAAATGTTAAATATTTTCTCTCGAGGATAGAAAAAAATGTAAATTTACTCTTGCGAATAAAACTATAACTTCGAAATTATTTTTACATTTTTTTCTAAAAAATAATTTACAATTTTAGTTATTATTTCTGTTTTTCTGTATTCTGATATATTATTTATTATTATTATTATTATTATACAATTATAATTATTTTGCAAAAAAAAATTTCAAAGCTAATTTATTTTTTCCTGTTTTACAATTAATAAAAACAAGTTTTTTGTCGAGAAATCACTTCCTTATTACGTACATTGATTTTTCCCCCTCCGAACATAAAATACAAGTAATAAAATATCTTTCTTGGTAAATAATTTCAAAATTTAATCAACGAACAAAATCTCAATTATACAGTATGAAAAAAAAAAATATTCCCCTGTTTTTATTATAGCTTTAATAAATAAAATCCAAGTAATTTTGATCCTTACCCTTGAGTATTTTTTTTTTCATGTTCAATTCCAAGGATTTATTTTACGACACATTCTAACCGCAATATTGAAAAAAAAAGAAATCGACTATTTCGAGGAGAAAAAAAAAGTGTGTATTTTTTATACAATAGTTTTTTTTTTTTTGCAAAAATGATAAATTTAATATAGAACTAATAGCGGAAAATAGAATCGTCAGTTTGTAAATAGACGTCAGGATAGTAACGATTAAATACCACTTAGTGTTGAGAACTGTCATTAAGATGGTAAAGCATAGAGTTAGAAACGTCGAAATACAATTTCCTACCAAGTTTGAGCAATTAACGTTATCAGGTTATTAATATCAAGGAGACAAGTTGTTAGATGTTGGATGAGAGTAATTCTCTCACCCATCGAGTCAGCTGAAGTCATCTTACTTTGCTTTTCCCTATGAGCATTCTCAGTTTAGGTCTCTCTCTCTCTCTCTCTCTCTCTCTTTCTCTTTGGATTCTGAGCCATTTCCAAGAACCTCGGGACCGCACTCACCAGTGGCGAATTAGTGGATAATTCCTTCTCTACCATACCACATTTTGCCACCCTCAGCAGCTTCACAAGGTGGCTCATGGCCTCTCGTTACTCTTCAAGAGAAATCTCTCTAGCAAACCCCACTTCTCCTTCTCCCCCTCGTACTTTCCTTTTGCTAACTATTCCTCTCCCTATAAAGGTAGGCAAGGCAACGTCTCTCTCTCTCTCTCTCTCTCTCTCTCTCTCTCTCTCTCCCCTCTCTCTCACTCTCTCTCTTGGCCCATTCAACGCACCATCGTTTGCCGAATAATTAATAGCGGCCTGTTTGCACGGGTAATCACAACCTTCCGGAACCACAAACTCGGTTCTCGATACTCGAGAGATTCGAGTTACTATCACGCAGACGTCCCGATATATACATATACATACACACACATATATATATATATATTAGGATACATTTTTTTCCCTTTTTTTGTTGAAAAAAAAAAACTTTCCGTATTTCACTCGTACTTTAAAATTCATTTCCTTTTTAAATGCTAATTAGTAATTAAAGCGAAGAAAAGTGAAAAGGAGAAGATACTCTTTACTCAAAGGAAGATTGAACTCTTTTCATATATAGAGAGGAATCCTTTAGTAACATCTGTAAAGTATTTGTCGTAATATTTTTTTTTTTTTTTATTCACATTTTTTATTAATTTTTTTTTTTTTGTTTTTAAGTGAAATTTATATCAACTAACAACATGTCACTGGAGTTAATTAAAAAGAACCGGTTTAAATAAAGGATTTCTTTTGTTTGCTCTTTATGAAAATTCCTTTGTTTCTAATCCTTAAAAGTAGAAAAAACTGAAAAATCACTGTTGTAGAAATTATAATTGTATAATAAAAAGAGAATTTAGAATGAAGAGAAAGAAAAGAGAATAATCTTTAAAAGTTGTCAAAATTTTTATTTATTTTATTTAAGAAAAATTTCATTTAATTTTATATTACATAAATGTTACGGGAAAAACGAATTTTTTTACTTTATCGAATTTGTTAATTTTAAAATTGAACAAAAGAAAATAAATGCTATTTAAAATTTTAAAAATAAATTATCAAATTAGTCAGACGCTATGTAAACTAATAAATACGATGAATTTTTTTTAAAGTTAAAATTGACATAGAAGAGCTGAAAAATTTATTAGGCTTTTTAAGTGAAGAAAAGTGTATTTAGTCTGACATTTTTACGATACATATAAATTAATTCATTTTTAAGTAGAGGAACAAACTTGAGGAATTTTTTATTTAAATAGCAAACATTTAAATTTAAGTGAAAGAAATTGAATTTGCTGAGACATTTTCACAATATTTAAATAGCGACTAAATATACAAAAAAAATTTATTTTTAATTAAAGAAAGATCGTTCAATTAAATGATTCGCAATCTTTATAGCATTTAAATAGTAAAAAAAACCAGTTTAGTCAGACTTGCTCTCAATTTCAAAAAATAATTTATCGCCATTTGTTTTACTTCACTTAACAAAAATTTATTTCCACATTTGGAGAAATTAATTCAGAAAAAACTTTTTTTTCAAAAATTTGATTTTTTTTCGCATTTGAGATATGCATTTTTTTTCGATATAAATTGGAGAGTTTGGAAAAGAAAAGAACGACGCGTAACAAAATTATTATTATTATTATGAAAAGATAATTACCGGTCTTTGTGATTCTTGCGGGTATTGGAAAAGAAATTGCCACTTGCGTTAAATATCATCTCCCCCTACCGAAATATCGCCCCTTGAATATTTCAAATGTTCAAGAGGGCTGACTTCAATTAGGTTTCAAGTCATAAAAAAAAAAAAAATCTCGTCGTCGCCGGAGGTAAAGTTACTTCGACTGGTACTTCCGCCGGAAGTAACGATGGTTCTATAATGAAATTACGAATTTCATGTGCAGTTGAAGCAACTATATATATATACACACACTAAACATCTACTGCATGTAAACATATTCCCTCTCCATCTGCGACTTACGAGTTCTACTAAGTTATATAGTTAGTTCCAATTTATTTTAAGTTCTATATAGCTGAGTAATTCTTCATTGTTCAAAATGTAAATTTTCAAACAAACATTTTATACCTACTATTCGAAAAGTTTCCAATTTAGTTCTAAATTGAACTTTTATTAAAAAAAAAAAAAAATTCAACTATTTTTTTTTTTTATTTCTCTTTTTTCTATATTACTTTTAAATTACTTTTTTTATATCGAGAAAATTTTATTCATTTGAATAACAAAAATCTTTGATAAAAATTTTCATATTTTCTCTCTTAATTTTTGAATCAGTGAGATTTCATAATGAAATAGTTGGAATTTAGCAATCACTAAATTCACTTCACATTTCATCAGTGAAAGTTCAGATTTAAATTCAGTTTAATAACTATTATTATAAAATAGAAAAAAGAATTTTAAAAAAATAAGACAAAATCTATTTTAAAGGGGTCAACAGAATATTTATTTCCGGGGGAGTATTTTTCATTCATATATATATATATATTTATGTGAACAGATTTCTGAGTCCTTTGACTAATACTTTCCACCGCAGAGTTTTATAACAGTGGTAAAAGGGAGGGGGGGGGATGTAAAAAAAATATACATATGTTCACTTTGCAATGAATTGGGGTACGTATTTTCTTGTCTGCTTGAAAAACAATTAAAACTTTTCCTACGAAACAAAGCACACATATATATTTTTTCCTGACAGTAATGAAAGAGAATTTTTTTTCATTTTTTTTTTTTACATATAGTTACAAGTTCTTTCTACTTTTGTTATTTTAATCCCATTAAATTGCAAAATAAAACAGAAATATTTAGTTCTTTTAATGTTTTTAAAAATTAATGATCCATGCATCTCTTTCTCTTTATCCTTTTTTGTCACTGTATAGGATCACATCGAACTTTAATTTGCTCTTTCTATTTTTCATTTACGACAATTGGATTCAAAGGGCTTTTCGAGAATACAGAATACAAGGCTCTATATATGTATATATATATGAGTGGAGAAATCGTTTAATCACCTTTGTAAATCACAAGTCTCGGCACTTCAATTTCCGCGTAAACGTTTAAATAAAAAGCTCTAAAAATAATGGAAATAGATTTTTTTAACCCTCTCTCTCTCTCTCTCTCATCATGAAAAAAAAAGAAAATCAGGAGCAAGGTAACCATGCAATTTAATGCATATTCAGCAGTGGTATAAGAATTCGATTCTGGGTCTTGAAAGAAGGGGGCTAAATGAGAAAAGGCGGTGGATGTTGAAAATGGGTTTCTCGGGAGCTGGCGGACGTTTATTAGAGAACGAGAGTGTGTGGCAAAAAAGAAAGGCCAAAAGCAGCTTAACAAACTGCTGAAACCACACCTCTTGGGGATTTTTATATATTCTTATATATATCTATAATAGGCTTCGTCAGGAATACGCAATACAATTTTCAAGAAACTTCACGAAAAGTCTCGTTTAAAAAAAAAAAAACCCTTTTCAAATCATTTTTTTCAGCTAATCTGAATTATTTTCTCCAATTTCTGAACAAAATAGATAAAAAAAAAAATTTCCTTACTTAAAATAAAAAAAAATTTAAATAATTTAAAAATAATTAATTTTTTTAAAAATATTTTTGCCATATAAAATAAAAAGATTTCTGAAATAAAATGTTTTTTTTGAACAAAAGGAGGAAATTTTTTTTTTTTATAAAAATTTCTAAATTAAGAGAAACATAATATAAAATTTGCATACCTTGTAGGGTCCCAAGTTTTCAACTATACATTCGAAGATGGCTTCACGACCAACCGACACAGTAAGGTTATTCAAGGGCTTTCCAAATCTCGGCAAGTCTGCAACAAGCCGGGGACATGGTTAGTTCGAAACATCAAGTTTAATAAGGAAGTGCTTCTCTTAGTGCTGAACCAGCTTCCCTTTGTGCAAACAAAAGTTTAAGTTTCGGGTCACTAAATTGATGATTTTATGCAAAAACCATTGTTACCTTCTCTGCAAAATGTAAGATATCAATAATTATTAAAATCATTTTACACCATCTTTATTTTGTTTTATTTCTTTTCTAATTTTCTCTATTTTTTTCCGATCTCGTTCATTTTTATTCATTTCAAATTCTGTGCTTTATGAGATTTTTTTTTTTTATTATATTGTTAATCTAAATATGAAATAAGAAATATTGTCTGACGAAAACTTTTTATCTTTCTCTACCGACGATAAAAAAAAATCTCTCTCTGCCTCTCACTTTGATAAAAGAAATAAATAGGAATATATCCTGTCAAAAAATAGAATACAAGGGAACAAATGAATTTTATCCGGTGACTATAACTTTTATTTTTTTTTCGTCTCCTACACTATATAAAACTTTATTCTCCCTTCGATGGAAAATTATTGATAGAAGGGAAAAAAAAGAACTATATAGTTATTTGCAAATCGTGTTGTTTTGAAAGTACGTTTCATTTTTTTTTTCCTGACCAAAAACTCTCTCTTTCTATACTGATCGTAGATTCATATTTATTCTCTATCTCTCTTTTACTCTTCGACAAAGAATTATGAAAACAGAATAACAAAAGAGAAAATGAAATACGTGTCTGACTATAACTTTCTGTTACTACTCGTGGTTTTCTCTCTCTCTCTCTCGTCAACGAAAAATTATTCACAAAAAGGAAAATTATTTTAATCATGCTAAGCAGAATACAAAATAAGCATCATGTATGTCTGACTAAAACCTTCCGTCTCTACTACTATATGTGTACATTTATGTCCCCTCTTATCTTTCCCAGTAACAAAATATTCAAAAAGAAAAAAAAAACTATTTTATCACATTACGACTGTATGAAATTTATTATTTTGTTTTAAAATACGAGAAATATTTTATCATTTATTTTTATTTATACAAATATTAATGTTTATATAAATAAATATAGAAATAAAATAGAAATAAATGGAAATAAATAGAAATAAAATAGAATTAATTGTGTTTGCTCGTTTTTTTTTATAAACAAGAAATTAGGAGGAAAAAAAAGTGGCATTTATATTGCCTTCAGACTATTTTGTATATGATACCTGATGCGTGACTAATATCTCGTTAAAAGCGTGTTTTAAGATCGCGTGTGCTTTTCATTTCAAGAAGCCCTATGAAAAGCTAATGCGTGAAATATGTGTCAGTATCTGTAATGTAATCTTATGGCAACTGTGGTAAAATCAATGATAATAAGTCATGTAAACAGGCAATAAATTATGCTAAATATGTAATAAGTCTCTGATTTCGCGAAGAAATCAACTAGTAACAGAGACGAAAAACAAAAAGAAAAACGAACAGAAAACAAAAAAAAAAAACAAAAATAAAACTTGTGAATAGATTTTTTTGCAATGAAAGAAAAATTTAAAAAAAATTTATAACTTTTTTTCGATTTAAATATTAATAAATAGTAATAAATTATTATCACTATATAATTATTAATCACGATTTATGTCAAAAGTGTCGTAAAATTATTATTCTTTTTTTTTTTCTTTGCCTTTAAATAAACGTTATAAAACTTATGGCTGCGAAAATCTTTTGGAAGAGCCACTTTCTGGCCAATTAAAAAGACTTTAATGACAGCATTTATGATCGTTAGTTAGTGAGATTGTAACGCCTTACGTTTCATTCTAAACTGAGTAATAAGACTATATAAAATGGAATGTGAAATTTTAACTACCCCTCTTTAGGTTTTGCTAGTTACTTGAATCTATGCCATCAATTTTATAATGTCACATAAATACCTTAGATAATTCCTAAACTAATGTCAATATCATAAATTTATCATATAAATAATGTGAGGAAAAAGATCCTTTTAGAAATTTAATAAAAAAAAAAATTATGTAGAAAAGAATTTGGTTAATAAATCTGTTTAATTATTTTTAATTTAATTGTTTTATTATGGCTAAGGAAACAATTTCTTAGAAATCGTTGCTACAGAACAAACACCTTTCCTAAGGAAAAAAAACCTTAGCAACCGTCGCTAAGGAAAAAAAACCTTAGCAACCGTTACTAAGGAAAAAAAACCTTAGCAACCGTCGCTAAGGAAAAAAAACCTTAGCAACCGTTGCTAAGGAAAAAAATACTTAGCGACCGTTACTGAGGAAAATAAATCTTAGCAACCGTTGCTAAGGAAAAAAATACTTAGCAACCGTTGCTAAAGAAAAAAATCCTTAGCAACCGTTGCTACAGAACAAACACCTTTCCTAAGGAAAAAAAACCTTAGCAACCGTCGCTAAGGAAAATATAATCCTTAGCAACCGTTACTAAGGAAAATATAATCCTTAGCAACCGTTACTAAGGAAAAAAATTCTTAGCAACCGTTGCTAAGGAAAAAAATTCTTAGCAACCGTTGCTAAGGAAAAAAATACTTAGCAACCGTTACTAAGGAAAAAAAACCTTAGCAACCGTTGCTAAGGAAAAAAAATCCTTAGCAACCGTTGCTACAGAACAAACACCTTTCCTAAGGAAAAAAAACCTTAGCAACCGTCGCTAAGGAAAATATAATCCTTAGCAACCGTTACTAAGGAAAATATAATCCTTAGCAACCGTTGCTAAGGAAAAAAATACTTAGCGACCGTTACTGAGGAAAATAAATCTTAGCAACCGTTGCTAAGGAAAAAAATACTTAGCAACCGTTGCTAAAGAAAAAAATCCTTAGCAACCGTTGCTACAGAACAAACACCTTTCCTAAGGAAAAAAAACCTTAGCAACCGTCGCTAAGGAAAATATAATCCTTAGCAACCGTTACTAAGGGAAATATAATCCTTAGCAACCGTTACTAAGGAAAAAAATAGTTAGCAACCGTTGCTACGGAAAAAAAACCTTAGCAACCGTCGCTAAGGAAAATATAATCCTTAGCAACCGTTACTAAGGAAAATATAATCCTTAGCAACCGTTACTAAGGAAAAAAATACTTAGCAACCGTTGCTACGGAACAAACTCCTTTCCTAAGGAAAAAAACCTTAGTAACCGTTGCTAAGGAAAAAAAACCTAGCAACCATCGCTAAGGAAAAAAAATACCCTTAGCAACCGTTGCTATAAGGAAAAAAAATCCTTAGCAACCGTTGTTAAGGAAAAAAATTTTAGAAGTTTAATTTTAAATTAATTTTAATATTTACGTAAATATGACAAAATAAAAATAATTTTTTTTTCGAAAGATTAAAACAAAGTTTTCATATTTATACCAAAAGCGCATATATATGTGGCTTATGTTTTAAAGTTGTAAATTGAATTAATTTCACTTTATGCGATGAAAGTGCTTCTTCTCATGAGAATTGGTGTATACACGTCGAAAAGACGGAAGCAAGTAATGAAATTGATGGAAGGACTATAGTAACAACGAGACACAAGGGCTGCGTGCCAGAGAGAGAACTGTCTATAGTCTTCGCATCGAATTGGTCTCACAAATCAGATTAATTAGCAACTCGTCGGCTATTGCACTTGAACGAATATATATAGAGAGAGAGAGGGAAGCAGAGATCCTTGCTTTGAGGCTAAGATCACATCGAATGTATATTGAGAGACGCTTCAGGCCACTGCCATATCTGACCTCGTATTATATAGACAATACTCGTAAGCTTTCTCTTTGATCCTATTGGTCAAATAACAATCAAAATTGTTGTTCATTCTATTAGAAAATTCAAAGTTACATATTTATTTCTTTTTTCCTTAAAAACAAATTTTTCAAAATAAAATTATAGAAAAAAAGAAAATATTTAACATATTCCTTTTTTATTGGTTAATTAATAATTAAAAATTGAGAAAAAAAAAAAATTCTCCAATTTTCTATAAAATCGGATTTGTTAAAAAATGTGTGGGTATTTTGGCACGATGAGACAGTTTTATGGTTTCCGGTCCACAGTCGAAAGCCTTACAAGGTCCGTCCACTTGTGACGAGCAAACCACAGGAGAAAATCAATAAAATTTCAATGATATATATACTCAAATATTATTTGATTTTAATTTAAAATTAATTATTATGGTATTATTTTTTTCAATATATTATCAGCAAGAGATAAAAAAGAGAATTAATTTTTGTTTGAAATTTTTTTTTTTTTTTAATTTCTTTCTGTCTTTATAACCGAGTGGTGTAAAATATTACTTCAATAATAAAGGAGTCACTTTTGTTCTTCATTAATAGATAATTAAAAAGAGAGATACAATTTCTAGGAAAGCAGTGAAGGTAATTAAATTTTACTCAACGATTGAGGAAAGAGACAAATTAAATATATGTTTGAGAGATGGGAACGATTGTGAAGATTGCTTTTTTTACTTCTGAAAGATTCTTATATAAGACTTTATTTTTCAAAAGCTCTTAACATCTGATGAATAATTGCTTGAATTAATTTTTTTTTTCTAATTATTATACCTAATATTAAAAAGTAGAAGATTAAAAACAATTGTATTAAAAAAAAAGTTTAAGAATTATAAATAAGAAGACAATATTTTAAGATGGAAAAAATTTTTTGAAAATTGGTAAAAATTGAGATAAATACAAAACAAAATTGTTGGTTCAAAATATATTTAATTTAAATAAAAATTATTTTATTCTAGTAAATATTTATTTACTTTCAATAAATATTTATTTAAGTAAATATTTATTTGTTTCGAGTAAATATTTATTTGCTTCAAGTAAATATTTATTTGTTTCGAGTAAATGTTTATTTGCTTCAAGTAAATATTTATTTGATAATAATAAAGTAATAAGAATAAAATAATTTTTTTTTCAATTGTAGTTATCGAAAAGAATGGAATTTAAAAATATCTGAATGACAATCTGCCATTATCGTATATCTCTTGTTGTTTTGGCGTCGTTCT